TCAACCATATTGGTGGAAAGTACTTCAAGTCATTTCTAGTATGACACTCAACCATATTAGTGGATGTACCTCAAGTCATTTTAGTATGACACTCAACCATATTGGTGGATGTACCTCAAGTCATTCGAGTATGACAATCAACCATATTGGTGGAAGTACCTCAAATCATTCTATTTCTAGTATGACAATCAACCATTTTGGTAGAAGTACCTCAAGTCATTCTAGTATGACACTCAGCCATGTTGACGGAAGTACCTTAAGTCATTCAAGTATGACACTCAAATATATTGTGGCTGCACACTCTGTGGCTGCACACTCTCTGTGGCTGCACATTCTCTGTGGCTGCACATTATGTGGCTACACACACTCTGCGGCTGCACAATCTCTATGGCTGCACATTCTCTGTGGCTGCACACTCTCTGTGGCTGCACACTCTTTGTGTGGCTGCACACTCTGTGGTTGCACACTGTGGCTGCACACTCTGTGGCTGCACACTGTGGCTGCACACTCTGTGGCTGCACACTCTGTGGCTGCACACTGTGGCTGCACACTTTCTGTGGCTTCACATTCCCTGGCTGCACACTGTTGCTGCGCACACTGTGGTTGCACACTCTGTGGCTACACATTCTCTGGCGGTATACTCTTTGTGGCTGGACACTGTGGCTGCACACTCTCTGTGGCTGCACACTCTGTGTGGTTGCATACTCTGTGTGGCTGCACACTCTCTGTTGCTGCACACTCTGTGGCTGCACACTCTGTGGCTGCACACACTCTGTGGTTGCACACTCTGTGGCTGCACACTCTGTGGCTGCACACACTCTGTGGTTGCACACTCTGTGGCTGCACACTCTGTGGCTGCACACTCTGTGGCTGCACACTCTGTGGCTGCACACTCTGTGGTTGCACAATCTCTGTGGCTGCACAATCTCTGTGGCTGCACAATCTCTGTGGCTGCACAATCTCTGTGGCTGCACACTCTCCGTGGCTGCACACTCTCTGTGGCTGCACACTCTGTGGCTTCACATTCTCTGGCTGCACACTGTGTGGCTGCACACTGTGGTTGCACACTCTGTGGCTGCACATTCTCTGGCTGCACATTCTCTGGCGGTACACTCTTTGTGGCTGGACACTGGCTGCACACTGTGGCTGCACACTCTGTGGCTGCACTCTGTGGCTGCACACTGTGGCTGCACACTCTGTGGCTGCACACTGTGGCTGCACACTCTGTGGCTGCACACTGTGGCTGCACACTTTCTGTGGCTTCACATTCCCTGGCTGCACACTGTGGCTGCGCACACTGTGGTTGCACACTCTGTGGCTGCACATTCTCTGGCTGCACATTCTCTGGCGGTATACTTCTTTGTGGCTGGACACTGTGGCTGCACACTCTCTGTGGCTTCACATTTTCTGGCTGCACACTCTGTGTGGCTGCACACTATGTGGCTGCACACTCTGTGTGGTTGCATACTCTGTGTGGCTGCACACTCTGTTGCTGCACACTCTGTGGCTGCACACTGTGGCTGCACACTCTGTGGCTGCACACTCTGGCTGCACACACTCTGTGGCTGCACACACTGTGATTGCACAATCTCTGTAGGCTGCACAATCTTCTGTGGCTGCACACTCTCTGTGGCTGCACATCCTGTGGCTGCACACTCTGTGGCTGCACACTCTGTGGCTGCACACTCTGTGGCTGCACACT